TTCTATATGGAACCTAGAAAACAAAACAAACAGACTTGTAAATACAGAGAACAAACTGGTAGTTGCCAGAGTATAGGTGGATGCGGAAATGAGCAAAACAGATAAAGGGGATTAAGAGTTAGAAACCTCCAATTACAAAATAAATACATCACACAGATACAAAGTACGGCATAGGGAATATAGTTAATACTGCAATAATGTATGGTGACAGACAGTAATGTGTAGAACTGCTGAATCAATACGTTGTATACCTGAAACTAACATAATGGTGTATGTTGACGAAGTTTTAATTTAAAAGTAAATTATTCTACAACCTATAATTCTATAACCTATCATCTACAATCTACACATTCCCCTGGGGGGAAGAAAAACCCACTCTAACTCGGAAGAGTCAAAAGATAAACAACTAACTGGTTGCAAACTCCCTGCATAAGGTAACCAGCTGTCAGAAGCCTAAAGAGTCGAAAGGCGTGACACCAGTAACCTCCATCAGCTTCCTTATGTAGCATTTCATACACCCAATATCACTATTCTCCTCTCAGATGGCATGCTTTGCTTAGAAGTATGTTACTCTAAAACTTTTTGGGGGGAGCGCCTCGGTGGCTCAGTCGGTTGAGCGTCCAACTTTGGCTCAGGTCATGATCTCGTAGTTCGTGGGTTCAAGCCCCACATCACGCTCAGTGCTGTCAGCGGAGAGCCCACTTGGGATCCTCTGTCCCCCTCTTCTCCTTGCCTCTCCCCCACTCGCACTCTCTCTCTCAAAAATAAATAAGCATTTAAAATAAATAAATAGGGGCACCTGAGCGGCTCAGTCGGTTAAGCGTCCAACTCTTGGTTTCGGCTCAGGTCATGATCTCACGGTTCGTGGGTTCGAGCCCCACATCAGGCTCCATGCTGGCAATGTGGAGCCTGCATGGGATTCTTTCTCTCCCCCTCCCCAGCTTGAGCTCACGCTCTCTCTCAAAATAAATAAATGAACTTAAAAAAAATTTTAATAAATAAGCAAAAGAAGTAAAGTTCTGTAATTTTAATCTGAATTGAAAATGAATTCTGTACTTTTCTTTTTTTTAAAGTATTTTTGGGGCGCCTGGGTGGCGCAGTCGGTTGAGCGTCCGACTTCAGCCAGGTCACGATCTCGCGGTCCGTGAGTTCGAGCCCCGCGTCAGGCTCTGGGCTGATGGCTCAGAGCCTGGAGCCTGTTTCCGATTCTGTGTCTCCCTCTCTCTCTGCCCCTCCCCCGTTCATGCTCTGTCTCTCTCTGTCCCAAAAATAAATAAATGTTGAAAAAAAAATTAAAAAATAAATAAATAAATAAAAATAAAGTATTTTTTTTTATGTTTTATTTATTTTTGAGACAGAGAGAGACAGAGCATGAGCAGGGGAGGGGCAGAGAGAGAGGGAGACACAGAATCGGAAACAGGACCAGGCTCTGAGCTGTTAGCACAGAGCCCGACGCGGGGCTCGAACTCACAGACCATGAGATCATGACCTGAGCTGAAGTCAGACACTCAACCGACTGAGCCATCCAGGCGCCCCTGTACTTTTCATTCTCTTAAGAAAAAGTACGCCGAGTTCTGCTTCCAGGAAAATACACGTAAATGTACTCTTCCCTAGTCCACCTGCTAAGTACATCTAAGAACCCTGGACACTATATATAAAACAAAGAAGAGAATTTTCTATGTACAGCATCATGTCATCTGCAAATGACAGTTTAACTTCTTCTTTACCAATATGGATGCCTCTTATTTCCTTTTCTTGTAGGACTGCTGTCGCTTGGACTTCCAGTACTATGTTAAATTAAAGTGGCAAGAGCAGACATCCTTGTCTTCTTCCTGATCTTAGAGGAAAAGCTCTCAACCCTCACACACCGTTGGTGGGAATGTAAACTGGTACAGCCACTGTGGAAAACAGTATGGAGGTACCTCAAAAAATCTGAGGGACACCCGGCCGGCTCAGTTGGTAGAACATGTGACTCTTGAGCTCAGGGTCATGAGTTCAAGACCCGTGTTGGGTGTGGAGCCTACTGAAAAAGAGATTTCAAATCGAAATACGATATGACCCAGTAATTCTACTACAGGAATGAAGTGAAAATGAAGAAAAGGCAAATGAAAACACTAATTTGAAAAGATACACGCACCCCCCTGTGTACTGCAGCCTTATTTACACTAACCAAGATATGGAAGCAACCCAAGTGATCACTAACAGATGAATGGATGAGGAAGATGTGGTGCATAACAATGGCGTATTACACAGTCATAGAAAAGGATGATATCGAACCATTTGTGACATGGGTGGACCTAGACGGTGTTGGGTTAAGTGAAATAAGACCGAGAAAGACAAACGTCAGAGGATTGCATTCATATGTGGAATCCAAACAAAACCCCAAATGAATAAACGAACAAAAAGCAGAATCACACCTATGAATACAGCAAACAAACTGGTGGGAGACACAGGCTTCGGGTTATGAAACGATGAAGTCACGGGAGTGACAGGCACAGCATAATGGTATCTACACTTGTGGTGGGCAGAGAATAATGTATAAACGTGTCAAACCGCTATGCTGAACACGTAAAACTAATCAGTGTAACTCTGTGTGTCAACTATACCCACATTAAAAAAGGCACGGCATAAGGAATATAGTCAATGAACGCTATCGCGATAGCTCCGTATGGCAAAAAAAGGAGGCTAGGCTGGCGGTGGGCACAGCTTAATGTATAAACCCGCTAATTCACTATGGGGTACACCTGAAACTACTGTAACACCGGGTGTCACCTATACTCAAATTAAAAAGTTTAAGAAACAAATAAGATATATTTCAGTAGTCAAAAATAATAATAATTCCTTCCTACCTGTGGTACTCCCTGTCTGGGTCATAATAAAATATATTTAATTTTAAAAAGAAAATAAAATGAAGAAGACTGTGCCACTTGGAGATGAGGCAGATCAGTGGGGGACTTAAAACTCCAGGAACAACATAGCAGTGATTCCCCTGAGTTTTCTTTATACCACATATATCCCACAGTAGGTGCTGGAGACACAGGCAACCCAAAAATTCCAATGGACTAAGAAAGTCTGCTTTATCTGGTCAAAGGACCAGGAAAAGGACAACCTAGCAAGAAAGCATTTTTTAAAAATATTTATTTATTGGGGCGCCTGGGTAGCCCAGTCGGTTAAGCGTCTGACTTCGGCTCGGGTCCTGATCTCACGGTTCGTGAGTTCGAGCCCCGTGTCGGGCTCTGTGCGGACAGCCCGGAGCCTGGAGCCCGCTTCGGATTCTGTGTCCCCCTCTCTCTCTGCCCCTCCCCACTCACGCTCTGTCTCTCTCAAAAATAAATACACTTAAAAAAATTTTTTTAATAATTATTTATCTATTTTGAGAGAGAAAGAGAGAGAGAGAGAGAGAGAGAGCATGAGCAGGGGGGAGGGGAGGGGAGGGGGGGCGGAGACAGAATGCCAAGCAGGTTCCATGTCAGCATGGAGCCTGACATGGGGCTCGATCTCGCGAACCATGAGATCACGACCTGAGGTGAAATCAAGAGTTGGATGCTTAAGCGACGGAGCCACCCAGGCGCCCCCAGAAAACTTTGAAATAATAACCAACTTATTCCAGCCAAGCATCGTGGGAGAAAAGCACGAAAACCTATGGGTCCCGGCTCCATCCCGTCAGCAAAAGCCAAGTGGGGAGCATATAGTTCCACTTCTTTGTGGCTTTGACAAAGTGCTGTACCCTCTACAACACTGGAGTGGTATCACAAAAGACAAAGCAGGGAGCTGAGGCTCATCCCTTCTGGGCAGCAAGGAGCCTCCTCACTCAGTGCCGTCAGTGGAGAAACCAGGGGGAGCCTGGACGTCCATCGCAAATCAGCAGTAATGAGGCATCTTCCCCCGTCCTACCGAGTAGTGGTATCAGAGGTCTAGCGGAGAGTCAGGAGAGGTGTCTGGAAAGATACAATGGAAAGCTGGAACCTGACGCCTGCCCAGAAGTGACGAGAAGCTCTCTACCTCGGGTTCAAGGGAAGCCAACTGGGAAACCTGGGCTTATTCTGCTGCCTGGTAGTGGTGACATGTCACTCTTTCTTCCCCAGCTGCACTGAAGTTAGAGGAAGCCAGCTAAAACCAGTTTAAATAAGAACCAGAATCTCGTAACATCATATCAAAAATGTCTAACGGTTTCGATGGATAATCACTCATTATCAAGAACCAGAAAAGGGGCGCCCGGGTGGCTCAGTCGGTTAAACGTCCGACTTCGGCTCGGGTCATGATCTCACAAGCTTGTGAGTTCGAGCCCCGTGTCGGGCTCTGGGCCGGCAGCTCGGAACCTGGAGCCTGCTTCGGATTCTGTGTCTCCCTCTCTCTCTGCCCACCCCCCCTGTAAAATAAACATTTAAAAACTAAAAAGAACCAGAAAAGTCTCAAACCGAATGAAAAAAAATCAACTGCTATCAAGACTGAGGTAACAGAGAAAACTATCCGATGAAGACTTTGAATCAGCCATCACAAAAACACTTCAATGAGCGCGTCTCAGGAAAACACGAGAAGATACCAGGAAGACGCAAATGGAGATGTTAGACCTGAAAAATACAATAACTAAAATAAAAAACTCAATGGATGGCCTCAACAGCAGAACAGAGGAAACAGAGGAAAGAATGAATGAAGTGAAACACAGAACAGAAATTACCCAGTCTAAATAGCACAGACTAAAGAGACTGGCGGGGGGGGGTGTGCCGCAAAGCTCTATAACAAAAGAAGCAACATCTTGCCATCAGAAATCAGGAAGGAGAAGAGAAAGAGGTGAGGCCTTAAAAGTACATGAAGAAATAACGATAAAAACGTCCCAATTTGGCAAAACAAATACATTTACAGACTGAAGAACCAGAACAAATCCCAAACAGGATAAAACCAAAGAAATCCACACTAAGATATATTATCGTTAAACTTTTGAGAACCAGAGATTTAAAAAAATACATATTGAAAGCCATGAGAGAGAAATGACACCTTACCTACAGAAACAATTTGAATGACGGCAGATTTCACATCAGAAACCATAGAGGCCATAGGACGTAGCACATCATTTTTCAGCTGAAAGAAAAGAACTATCAACAATGAAAATAACCTTCAGGAATGAAGAAGAAATAAAGACATTCTCAGGCGGAAAAAAAAAAAAATCCTAATACAATTTGTCCCGAGCAGATCTACCTTAAAAAGAATGGCTAGGGGCGCCTGGGTGGTGCAGTCGGTTAAGCGTCCGACTTCAGCCAGGTCACGATCTCGCGGTCCGTGAGTTCGAGCCCCGCGTCAGGCTCTGGGCTGATGGCTCGGAGCCTGGAGCCTGTTTCCGATCCTGTGTCTCCCTCTCTCTCTGCCCCTCCCCCGTTCATGCTCTGTCTCTCTCTGTCCCAAAAATAAATAAAAAAAAAACGTTGAAAAAAAAAAATTAAAAAAAAAAAAAAAAAAGATTGAAAAAAAAAAACCATAAAAAAAAAATGAAAGATAACAGAAGGAATCTTGGAACACCACAAAGAAAGAACAGATGCAGGAAACAAAAATATGGATAAACAGGGACACCTGGGTGGCTCAGGTCATGACTTCGGCTCAGGTCATGATCTCACGGTTTGTGGGTTCGAGCCCCATGTTGGGCTCCGTACTGACATCACGGAGCCTGGAGCCTACTTTGGATTCTGTGTCTCCCTCTCTCTCTGTCCCTCCTTCACTTGCTCTTTCTTTCTCTTTCTCTCTCTCTCAAAAATAAACATTAATAATAACAGTAATAATAATAAGCTATACAGGGGCACCTGGCTGGCTCAGTCATCAGAGTGTGTGACTCTTGATCTCAGGGTCATGAGGTGGAGACCCACATGGGGGGTAGACTTTATTTAACAAAAAAATAAAAATAAAAAATAAATAAAAAGCTATACAAAGAGATACACTCAAAAACACTCTAAGTAAATCAAAATGGAATTCTAAAAAATGTTCCCATGACTGACCGGGGAAAAATAAAACAGAAAATGAAACAGAACAAACACAGAAGAAAAAATAAAATAAGACCTAACTTATCATTACTCACATTGAATGGCAATGGTCTAACTGCACCAATTAAAAGACAGAAATTGGAAAAAAAAAATTACACACAGGACCCAAGCATATGGTATCTGAAAGAAGGTCACTACAAATATAGCAATATAGGCAGGCTGAAAGGAAAAGTATGAAAAGAGATATATCATGCAAACATTCATCAAAAGAAAGCAGAAATAATGTTAATTATACCTCAATAAAGTTGAAAAAAGAAAGAAGTAGCTATACTAATATCAGACAAAGTAGACTTCAGAGAAAAAAATTACCAGAGGCAGAGAGAAGACATCTAATGATAAAAACGCCAATTCATCCAAAGAGACAAATCAATCCTAAATGTAGAAAACAAAAGCAAAAGCTAATGAAACCGGAAAAAAACAGAAAATGGGCAATTTGGGGGCGCCTGGTGGCTCAGCTGGTTGAGCGTCCTCAGCTCAGGTCGTGATCCCGGGGTCGTGGGACAGAGCCCCGCATTGGGCTCTGCGCTGAGCGTGGAGCCTGCTTAAGATTCTTTCTCTCTCTGGGGCGCCTGGGTGGCTCAGTCTCTTAAGCATCCGACTTCAGTTCAGGTCATGATCGCGTGGTTTGTGAGTTCAAGCCCCACATTGGGCTCTCTGCTGTCAGCGCGGAGCCTGCCTCAGATCCTCTGCCCCTCTCTCTCTCTCTCTCTCAAAAATAAATAAACATTAAAAAAAGAGTCTTTCTCCCTCTGCCCCTCTACCCCGCTACCCCGCTTGCATGCTCTCTCTCTCTAATAGAAATTTTTAAAAAAGAAAAGAAAATGAGCAATTTTCCCTGACCACACTGGAATGAAACTAGAAATCAATAATGGAAAGCTCACAAGAGAGCAGAAAGCTAACAAGAGAGGGGCACCTGGGTGGCTCAGTTGGTTGAGTTGGTTCAGCTCAGGTCGTAATCTCACAGCTTGGCTCCTGAGTTCGAGCCCCATATCAGGCTTTCTGCTGTCACGGCAGAGCCCACTTTGGATCCTCTGTCCTTCTCTCTCTGCCCCTCCTCTCTCTCTCTCTCTCTCTCTCTCTCACAAGAATAAACAAACATTTAAAAAAAGAAAGACAACAAAACAATCTCCAAACACTTGGAAGCCAAATGACACATTTCTAATAATCTATGGTACAAGGAGAAAGTCTCAAAGGAAATTTTAAAAATACAATAAACAAAATGAAAATGAACATACACTTACAATTCGTGGAACACATCTAAAGCAGTGCTGAGAGGGAAGTATAGCACTAAATGCATACATTTGAAAGAGGAAAGTCTCAAACCAAAAATCTAAGGTCCCGGGGCACCTGGGTGGCTCAGTCGGTTAAACGTCTGACTCCTGTTTTCAGCTCAGGTCATGATCTCACGGTTTGTGAGTCGGGGCTTGACATTTCTCTCTCCCTCTCTCTCAATAAATAAATAAATAAATAAATAAATAAACAAATAAACATTAAACATTTTTTAATAAAAAAATAAACAAAAATAAAAACCTAAGGTCCATTTCAAAAACCTAGAAAAAGAAACCATATTGAGGTTATGCTGTTTAAGGGTACAAACTTGGAACAGCAAGTGATTATAGGAAACAATATTATAAACTTCAAAGTTGTTAAGAAACTAGACTTAAATTGTTCCCACCACAAAAAAGAAATGATAATTATGTGATGTGATTGAGATGTTAGCAAACTTACAGTAGTAATCATATTGCAATATATAAATGTATCAAACACATGTATACTTTAAACTTACGCAATGTTATATATCAATACTTTAATTTTTAAAAAAGAAAAACAATAGGAGTAAAATAAACCCAGAGCAAGCAGAAGGAAAGAAATAGAAAAGAGAAAAAAATAGGGGCACCTGGAAGGCTCAGTACGTTAAGCGTCTGACTTTGATTCAGATCATGGTCTCATGGTTTGCGATTTCGCGCCCCTCATCGGGCTCTGTGATGATAGTTCAGAGCCTGGAGCCTGCTTCAGATTCTGTGTCTCCCTCTCTGCCCCTCCCCCATTCATGCTCCGTCTCTTTCTCTCTCTCTGTCTCTCAAAAATAAACATTAAAAAAAATTTTTTTTAAAGAAAAGAGCAAAAATTAGTGAAGTTGAAAACGGAAAAATAATAGATAAAAATAAGTGAAATAAATCTTTGAAAAGATCAATAAAATTGACAAATTTTTGGCAAGACTGAAAAACAGAGAAGACACAAGTTACCAAAATCAGGAATGAAACAAAGACTATCACTACAGACCTTGCAGACATCAAAAGGATAATAAAATTATAAATAATTCTTCACATACACATTTGATAACTTACATAAAATGAACTACTTCCTAAAAAAAAAAACCCACAAACTATCACAAATTGCCTGAAATGAAATAATTTGAACAGCCCTAGTACTACTAAGGAAATTTAATCCATAATTTAAAAGAAGAGAAAAGAAGGAAAAAAGAAAGAAAGGGAGGGAGGGAGGGAGAGAGAGAGAGGAAGGAAGGAAGGAAGGAAGGAAGGAAGGAAGGAAGGAAGGAAGGAAGGAAAAAGAAAAGAAAAAGAAAGAAAGAAAGAAAGAAAGAAAGAAAGAAAGAAAGAAAGAAAGAAAGAAAGAAATCACTGGCCCACACAGTTTTCCTGGAGAATTCTGTCAAATTCTTTTAAAGAATTAACACCAATTGCAAAACCTCTTACAGGAAAAAGAAGAGGAAGTAAGTCTTCCTAACTCATTCTACAAAGCTAGTTATTTACCTGTGATAAGCTTAAAAGGCGGCCCCCAAATATATCCGCATCCTAATCCTGACAGCCTGTGGATATCAGCTCTAAAAAATGGCAAGAGTAAAAGGGTCTTTGCAGGTGTGATTAAGGATCTCAAGATGAGAGGCGTATCCTGAATTATCCAGGTGGGTCCTAAACGCAGTCACATGTACCCTAACAAGAGGAACGTAGAAGAAAATTTGCCACACACACAGAGGGCAGTGACAGATTCGAAGATGCTGGTGGCCATAAGAATGCAATGAGGAAGGCCAAGGAACAGGGGCAGCCCCCAGAAGCTAGAAGAGGCAAGGAAGGTTCTGGAGGGAATACAACCCTGCCAAAACCTTGATTTGGGCCCAGTGATACTTATTTTGGACTTAAGGCCTCCAGAACTGCGAGAGAACAAATTTCTGTCATTTTAAGCCACCAAGTGTGTGGCAATTTGTTGCGGCAGCCACATGAAGCTAACACATTCCCTGATTACAAAGTCAGACAAACACAGTATAAAAAAAGAAAACCACACCCCAATATCACTCATGAATATGTAGGCAAAAATTCTTGACAAAATATTGGCAAATATAACTCAGCAATATATTAAAAGAATTATAGGGCGCCTGGGTGGTTCAGTCGTTAAGAATCTGACTTTGGCTCAGGTCATGATCTCATGGTTCGTAAGTTCGAGTCCCACACTGGGTGAGGGCGAGTCCCACAAGTCCCACATCAGGTGAGTTCAAGCCCTGCTTCGGGTGAGCCTCGCTTCTCTCTCTCTCTCTCCGTATCTCTCTCTGTCTCTCTCTGCCCCTTTCTCTCTCTCTCTCTCTCTCTCTCTCTCTCTCTCTCTCTGCCCCTCGCTCACTTGTGCCCTCTCTCTCTCAAAAAAAAAAAAAAAGAAAGAATTATACACCATATCCAACTGGGGTTTATTCTAGGAATGCAAGGCAGGTTCAATATTCAAAAATCAATCCATGTAATCCACCACATTAAGAGGATTTTTTAAATCACATGATCCTATCAATGCATGTAAAAAACAGCATTTGACAAAATTCAATATTCATTCCTACAAAAAAAATATGAATAGAAACAGGAAGAGACAGGAACTTCTTAAACCTGATAAAGAGCATCTAAAACAAAACTGCAGCTAACATCACACTTAATGGTGAAAGACAAGATTAACCAGCAAGGCAAGAACGTCCATTCTCACAATTCTTATTCAACCTAGTGCTAGAAGTTCTAACCTGTACAATAAGGCAAAAAATGGAAATGAAAGGCG